CGTTGCCTGACATTTCAGCCATTCATCATCAAACTAAAATGCAGTCAACCAAACATAGAAGTTACACTTTTATTAATTTATTAATTTTAAAAGGTCCGCTGTAAAATCAGCGTGCAGCGCCCAAACAAACATTTTTGCGAATGTGAAGGATTTTACACGAATATTAGAACATGAGTGAAGTATTAAGCCATGTTTAGGCTACATAATGAATAATAGTTATGCTAACAAATGTTACAAATATGGCAAAAATGGAAACGTTTGGATTCTTGTGGTAGGCCTATGAGACAGGCTCGTGAGCCCAATGCCGTTTCAGTTTTGCTTGACATTTGTATGTTGTTTATAATGAATGCCATATAGCCTAATTTGTGTTTTATTGTATAGTTTAATATATAATTTTATAACTACTTATTTTTCATTCTTGTTCTGTTCTGAATACCGTCGGGTATAGAAAATAATCACCCCCTTTCAAATAATCACATTTAAAATATTTGTTGTAGAGTGAGGGGAACTAAATAGGCTGTTTATACTTACCAGTAGGCTATTTTAATATATGTATAAATTACATAAATTAATGTAGCCTATTTGTTTGCAATTACAAGGTTAACGGGTGTTTTTGGAGTAAGATCAATTTCTCTTTAATGAGATTACTTCCTCTTTTTGGCCGGGTTTCGTTTCTCCCTGTCGTAAACTCGAGGTTTCTAAACCAGAGTGTTTTTAGGGGCTTGATATTCAAATGACAATTGTTTTCTGCCGCGATCATTCGTACCATGAGACTGGCAGCATACGAATGTTTCATGATTCCCACGTGAACTTTGTCGTAGCCTAAGTTGATTTGTGCGCACGGATCTGCGCTCGTTTCTACGTTAGATTGATAAATGAGGCCCAATGAACCCGTGCTGCTGCAACGCACACGCACTGCAAACGAAGCATATGTGTGAAACAAGCGTCAGAGCTAGATCTCATCTAATATTGTAATGCATTACTTTTAAAAGTAACTTTCCCCAACACTGGTAATTACTAATTACGGTAATTATTCGGCTACGTTATGGCGTGAACGCAGCATCCCTACTCAAATACACCTGAACAAGTTAATCAGGGTCTTTAAGATTAGGCTACGGGCGGGTGAGTTTCATCAGGGCTGGAGTTGCGCCAGGCCTCATTGGATCCTTAAAAATGCGTTTTCAAAAAGCGCTTTAAAAGCCTCTTGACCCACTAATTCAGCGCGTTTTCCAGCAGAGTCTATTGGGAGACCGCAGGGCGAAAGGATAACAGCTCGAGTGTGCTGCGCATTGGTTGCGCTTTTATTGTGTCTCTCTGTATGCTTGAGCAGGACACCCGTTGAAGGTCCAGACATAGGTGAGGTCTTTTAACTTAATTATACAGAGAGGACAAAAAAATGTAAATTAGAACTTATACAAAATATGACTTTAGGCACATCTCAGAACTTATAAATGTACAGTACAGACGTCCAGTGGAAGTTAAACTTTGTATGTTAGTGTAGAAAACCATTCAGTTTTATGTGTTTATATTTCTCCCATTGTACAAGGAAAACACAATGACGAAGATGGTATTTATGGGAATTGTTTTTGTGTTTTTTTACCAGTAGAAGGACCCATTCGTTTGGTTACAGAGTTACCAAGTAAGTCATGGCATGTATGCCATCGTTCCTGGACTTTTTTTGAGGGGTTGGGGGTGGTTTCAAGATGTTTTGTGCATGTTTACCCGTTTAAGGAATATACAGCCTGATTGCATGGGTTTAATGGGTTCAGTCTGTTTTGCTACAAACGTCTGTATTTTGATTCATTTTTTGTGTGTATTAGAATGTAGTGGTGGTGGTCATATATAATAATTTAACAAATATTTTATTATTAACATGTCCATGTTTTATGTTAGCATTACTATGCACTACACACCACCAGTAGTGGGGTAGGTTCCATGTTGTAATGGCGCTCCTTGCCTTTGAAGCAATTTAGGGATAAATACTAGAGTCTAAACTACTTTGGTTTGATACAGATACATTTGTGGTTATACGCAAGTTTGATGCATGTCGCAAAACCAATGACTTGCAAGTGCTGAAGGAAAAAAGTAGAGCTGTACCGATTGCAACTTTCTTGGCTATTTTTTGTTTTTTTTTGTTAGTGTGATCTGCCGATAATGATTTTTGCCGATTCCGATTTTTTTTTATTGAATTTTATTTTCATAGTAATAAAATAAGAACAAATACAAAAATTGCAAACAGCACAAATAAATGCAATAGAATAAAGAGCTATAAAACCTAAGTTTTTCAGGGTTTTTTTGTTTGTTTGTTTTTTTTTATTCAGGTAAGAAATACTACCGAAATTAAAGTAATCAAATGTAAAATAACACATCCAGTGTTTTACATTTGATTAATTTCTGTAGTCTCATTGTAAAAAATAAATACAGATTAATGCTTACCATTAAAGTTATAAAACGTATGGAGTCAAGAGCAGAAAGTGATTTTCTTTCTTTGGTTCTTTGATTAACATGACAGACAGCAGCAGGAATATTGGACTGCGTTCTTTCTCAACTATTAAACGTTCCAAAACTGACTGTTGAACTGGATAATGCCCGTCTTGGCGACTTTGACAATTTTGTATGTATTTGACCGTTTTAGCCCAGTTAGCCACTAATTTTTGTGTGTGTGGTGGGGTCGGAGAGAAGAGCGCGAGAATGCGCAGCTGATGTTATTGCCGCTGGTAACAAAACAGATCGGCTCGGAATCGGACAGAAGTGAGGCTGACCGGCTGGAAAAAAGAAAAAAGAAGGCCATTTCAGCACTCCCTAGTCTCCCCTAATGAATCCTCTTCATTAGTGGCCGGTCAGTGTCTGCTGAAGCTGACTGTGTTTCTAATAAAGACCGCTCTAGATGACATGCATGCTGTCGATTTGATTTTAGGGCTGTGTGTACTCCCTGCTTTCAGTAAATTTAATTTAATAGTTAATGCTAGAGTTTTTCCAAAAGAAACGCTGCAAAAAAATTAATTCACTCAAACTGCTATGAGGTTTTACATAATAGCAAAGAAACCAAGCAACGCATTGAATTAAACTTGAAGTTTTAAAGCTGTATTGAAAGTTTATTTTCTGTGATTATGGTTTTTGTCGTGTTTTGTATATCAGCAAAACCAAAAGTGTGTCCTAGAAACAATCTTGAAGTAGCAGTGTTAGGAGTGTGTGTCGAATCGTGTTCCCATGACAGTGACTGTCCGAACGATGAGAAATGCTGCCACAATGGATGTGGACATCAGTGTATGGCTCCATATGCAGGTATTTGTTATATTAGTGTGTGTGTGGATTATATTAGTGCAACTTTTTTTTTTTTTTCCCCTTCAAATGCAGCGAGTCTGGGATCTGGTTTCTCTATCATGTGTTTGTGTAACAGAAAAGCCAGGAGTGTGTTCGAGCAAGAACCTTGGAGTAGGACTGTGTGTTGAGGTGTGTTCCCATGACAGTAATGGTCCGAATGATCAGAAATGCTGCAGCAATGGATGTGGACATTAATGTACAGCTCCATTTAAAGGTATTTATATTATATTAGTGTGTGTGTGTGGGTCTGCCATTTTTTTTTTTTTTTTTTTTT